AATAATGACCTAGGGGGCATGGCAGAGGAATATGGGGGTAAATAGGGAGCTAACAACAATGTGTATGAGAAGAAAATGTTCTGAAATGGTGGTGATGATGGCACAACTCTTCGTAACATGATTTAATGATTAAATTGTGGGATATGTGAAGTTTGTGCCAATAAAACTTTTTTTTAAAAAAAAGAACAATAGCACAAACCCCACTGCCTGTCAAGTCGATTACAGCTCATTCCACGTATGGCGTAGCGTAGAACTGCTTCACAGAGGCTTCAAAGCTGCACGTCTTCATGGGAGCAGACTGCCACGGCTCTCTCAAGAAGCTGCCGTGGGTTTTGACTGCAGGCTTTTGACTTAGCCTCTAAGCACTTAACTACTGCGCCACAAGAGCTCTTGAATACCTCTCAGGCCCTCCTTTAACCATGCATCTACCCACATACTGCCAAAGCTCCCATAGACTTTCAGCTCATTGCTTTAAGACTGCTTTCCACGGCTTAGAAGGTTTGACATTCAGCATCTTCTAATGAGCAGTGAAATGTAGTGGTGAAAGTTCTACACTGTTAACCTGTAGATTTCCGGATTCTTTCTAGGGCTGACCCTCAGATGGCTGGCTCCTTCAGGTCAGGCACAGTTTATCTGGCTTCCAGGGGCAGGCACATGGGCTGTGCTCTATAATAAAGGTGGTGGTAGTGAAGTGAGCTAACGATATTATTATGAAAGCCATTTAATTTCCCAGTGTCTCCACATCGATATGCATGAAGTGGGAGTAACGGTTCCTGTTCTGCTTATTTCACTGGGTTGTTCCGAGAATCTAAAACAATAATAACTGCAAAAATGCTTTTTAAAAGTGTGGTGCCTATCCTTGGGTAGTGTATGGCTATACCCATTCACTTGTCAAATATAACAGGCTATTTTCTTTATCTCCAGAATTTTTATTCTATGGAACAGTAATGAATTCCTAAATCTTGTCAATGTGAACAATAAAAGATTCAGAACGACTTTTCCTGGCAGTCTATATGCCATGGCTGAAGTACTTAGGCTTTTATTTAAACCTGGGGGAGAAAAAAAAAGTATAAGAATATTTTTTTAACTAATTCCTTTAGAAATTTTTTTTCTCATCTCGAAGTTAGCATTGCTAATTTGAATACCCTGTTGTACATGAATTTAATTTCAAGGTTAAATTTCTCTATGAAATGACAATGCCAGTAAGAATCATTACTGGTAAGTAGCAAGTGTCAGCTTATCGCAGCAGTCTAAATAATATGTTACTTAATAGATTAAATTAGTTTTTTCAATTGGTAATATGTCAAATTGATTACATGAAGGAATTAATATAAAATATTTTCCTGAGTTTTTCATATCATATAGTGGTATTCTCCGGGAGTTCTATTCTTTTGAAAGTGCCTTTCAAATGATGCTTAATGTTCATAAATATACCAAAACTGTTGAGTTAAACATAATGGGATATGTTGCGTTTTTTGTGAAGCATTTTACTAGCCAATATGCAGTGCAAATATCCGCAGTGGACTTGATTATAGCATTTTTATAAAACTTATTTGTTTGGCAACATACCTGTTAACATCTTCCAAAAGCACTGTTGAGATAAACACCACTCTGGTAAGTGTGATGACAAAGTATATTTGATTAGACACATTGTATCCCACACAAAGATGTGCCTTTGGAACTGTTATAAATGCAATTGACTGGTAGATCACATGGAGTGTTTCGTGGATAAATAACACTATCCTCGGTGCTGAAGTTGAAGGAAATTAGCTTTGGAAATCTAAAGTCAGGGTACAGATAGTTGGTAGAAGTACTATAGAAATAGAAATCTCTAGTGGTGCGGTAGGTTAAACATTGGATTGTTACCTGTAAGTTCTGCAGTTCGGACTCACCACTTCAAGAGATCAAGATGAGATGATCTTCTACCATAAAGATTTACATCCTTAGAAACCTATAGAATGGTTTTACTCTGGTGGCATAATGGTTACACATTGAGCTTCTAACCACAAGGTCAGCAGTTCAAAACTGCCAGCCTCTCTACGGGATAAAAATGGGGTTTTCTACTCCCTAAAGAGTTATAATCTCAGAAACTCACAGGAGCATTTCTACCCTTTCCTATAGGGTCACTATGAGTCAACATCAACTCAGTGGCAGTGAGTTTGGTTTTGAATTTATAGGGTCAAAATGATTGAAATTGACTCAGTGGCAGTGGGTTGTTGTTGGTTTTTTGTTTGTTTTGTAACATTAGAATGATATGAATGCAACATTTTTATTAATGTTTGCATATAGAATTGGAAGTACACCCCCAAGAGTCAAAAGGATGATGTAATAGAATACTGTTGCCATCACTTTTATGAGGATGCTAATAAGGACTGTTTAAGTAAATGTACTTCTGTGGGTTGTTATTTTGGAGAGGACACTTTGGAACCATCCCTGTATACCCATTAACCTCATCTCCTCTGCCTCAGATCAGTACCAGCTCAGTGCTTTGATGGTTTCACTTCGGTAACTTCATAGTTATTTCTCGCATGGTATGATAACGTCACAAACTTAATGAGAAACAAAGACGAAAAGAAATGCATTACCTTTTTAAGGCTTTTTTAAAGATTTAATATACTTTTAAGTAATTTACTGTTAAAGTGTATATCTATTCCCCTAATGGAATTTTTTTCAATTATTTGAATCAGAGAAAATTCTTATTTCTACCTCATAGTTTTTTTGTGTTTTTTTTAAACATTTTATTAGGGGCTCATACAACTGTTATTGCAATCCATATACACATCAATTGTGAAATACTGGAACTTTGAAATAGAGTCTACTCTATGAGCTTCTTTATTGGTGCTTATAGAGACTCATAAATTGATGTATATGAGAAAATATACATACCCCTACTCTCTCCAGGTAAGGACCTGCCAGTGCTGCAGCCTAAGCAAAGTTGAAGCTTTAGTTCTCCTCTGCTTTGGCCCTAGGAGCTGTGATAGAGGGGAAGTTCCTCCCCAGAGCAGTACATGGAAGCATGAATAAGCCTTAGGAACAGACTTCTTCCAGATTGTGCTTGCCCAGCCTTAGCCTCAAGACGATGATACTATCGATGAGAATATGAGGCTGATATCTAGGGTTCACCAATTTGATTTGTCCTCTTCTTAATAGCTAGGAATTTAACTGGAAATTTTACTATGTGCCAAAGGAATTTGTTGAGAATGGCTTAATTCCACATCCTCACTTAAGGATAGTATATGATATCTAAACATTAGTGTTTGGTAAAAATCTGTCTGCAACCTTTGTGATTCAAATAAAAACTTAATTTTCTGTATCTCGATAGTTATTCCAAGGCCCCTATTCTATGAGAGTGGACCTTGCTCATCGTGTGTTCTCATTTCTGTCGTGAGAGTCCTTACCCAGTGCCAGTGCAATCATAAGAAACTCTGGAGATCTCTCTGCCACTGGCCACACCATTTATTGCTGAAGAGCCCCACTCCCCCTGTTTAGATGGTCTACTCAAGGCCAATGCCTCCTGAGACATAGAAACCTGATTCTTTGCTTCCACTCAGTGGGTTTGTTGGAAGTTACCACTGAGCCTGATATAAATAAGATTTCACATGAAGGAAGTGCTTGCTCTTCCAAATCTCACTCTTTGTTTAAGGAGATCAAGTGAACTCATCACCCACTGACCCTTCTCCCCTATTATATTTGCTGCCCTTCACCTCCCCTTTTTGTCCTCTAAAAACAGCTGATCTTTAAAACAGTAGTGCAAAATATGTAAATTTTATATCTAAGTATAAATTTCTGTACAGTCAAAAGAGAAGTCTGCATTTGAACACTGTTCCGTGGTGGACACGTGCAAAGTATGTTCTTTTTTAGCTTTAAGTTCCTTTGAAGAGATGCTGACGTCTTGAAACATTGAGTTTAATAGCCTTTCATGACAGGCTTTTCATTGCATGAAAATGTTGTCAAACTCTTAATGTATCTTTAGAACCACTGACACTATATAACAAAAAATAAACACAAGCAAAAACTGAATGCCACAATATTTTTGTTGACAGACTTAAGCCTCAAGCTTTTTCTTTATTTACGAGCATGGGTTTACCTTTTCAGTTTATAAGCCTTGGTAAAACTCTAGAAATACAAAACTTACATCTAAAGATGCTTTCATGGGCATGGATCCTGTACCACCATGAAAACACGCCCCCCTCAAAAAAATCAACAAATAAAATATGAAAACAACTGCCACAGAGTCAATTCCAACTTAGAGCGGCTCTGGAGGACAAAACAGAACCTTCCCGCAGGTTTCAGAGGCTATAAATTCCATTCTCCGGGATTCCTCCTCCATGCAGGTGAAAGAGGGATTGTAATGGGAAAATTAATTACCCCTCTTCTGAACAAAACTTTTATGAAAATGTTCACGGATACTAAGGAATTGGCCCCCGAAACATTGAACCAGCCAATATTATTCTCTTTTGCTTTCTTTTTATTTAGTACCACTGACTCCTTGTACCTGACCATTTATTTTTCATAGTACTTATTATCTAATACATTTGATTTTCTTCTTGTGTATTTGTTGGTGGCTTTTTACCCCTTCCCGATGGAGTGGAAGGTACAGGCGCACAGGGGTTCTAGGGCTGGTGACACGAGGTTTAAGCCCTTGGTTACTTCCTGAGTTGACTGTCAGAACTCATCAGCTGCTCAATGGGAGAAAAATGTAGCGATGTGCTTCTGTAAGGAAGGATGTACAACCTTAGAAACTGTACAGTGCAGTTCCATTCTGTGCTATAGGGTCACGTTGAGTTGGGATCAACTTGATAACTATAGGAGGTTTTTATCCCAATCCCCTCCAAGAGTTCCTGGCAGGAAGTATGCATTTCATAAATAGTTGATGAATGAATGAATGGCACACACCACTGAATGCATAGACAAAGGGCAAAAAGAAAAATAATGCTGCGTGCTTTACTGTTCTCCAATGAATGCATATTTTCTTAACCCGTGCTATTTTATGCTTTCAGACATCAACATGGCTGGGGAACCAAAACCATACAGACCCAAACCTGGAAACAAGAGGCCCCTCTCAGCACTTTATAGGTATGTAGGCAAGCATTGCTTTACTGTCTATAATACTGAAATGTTCTTGCAACTTTATACGTTATCCATAGCCTATAAGTTATCAAATATTTTAAAGAACAATCCTTATCAGCATCTGTGCTTGTTGTTAGGTGCCATCGAGTAGGTTCTGATCCACAACAACCTCATGCACAACAGAACGAAACACTGCACGGCCCTGTGCCATCCTCACAATAGTTCCTCTGCCTGAGCCCATGGATGCAGCCACTGTGTCCGTCCATCTCCTAAAGGCTCGTCCTCTTTCTCGCTGTCTCTTTATTTTACCAAACACGATCTTCTTCTCCAGGGGCTGGTCTCTCCTGACAATATGTCCAAAGTATAGAAGAAGTTTTGCCATCTTTTCCCCTAAGGACCGTACTGGCCATAGTCCTTCCAAGATAGATCCGTTTATCCTTTTAGCAGTCCCTGGTACTTTCGATAGGCTTCTCCAGCCCCGCAGGTGGAATGCATCAGTTTAGAGTGCTACACAATGTCGGTGGTCCGAATCGACATCAGAGCATGGCGCGTCGGTAGGGCTCTTGACACTGCAACCTTCCCATGGCTACGGAAACAACCCTTCTATGAAACAGGTCTCTAATGGGTCTAGCTGCCAACTGGTGGGGTATTTATTCGTTTAGTGCCTGTGCGTGATTTTCTGCTTTCGCCCAGATATATACTGCTGACAACTCCTTCCTTTCTTCCTAGCTCAATGCTGCATTGTCTTAAAGAGATACATTTGTGTAGCCATCGCTGTAGGTGTTGTATGTGTTCTTTGTTTAAATTTTCACAACTCTGTTATAGCTGTTGTTGCTCTCCGTGCATAGCTCAAGAACCCGAGGAGCACTTTTTCAGTGCCTTTCCCCAACGTCATGTGCTGGTAAATGATAGTTGCGCACTCATGCTCATGCTTGCTGAAGCTGTACCCCAAAGTCTTTGCGCCCTATCCCTCAGCCTACTTCGCTCAAAGTGCAGATTTCTCTTATCCCCATTTTGCGAAAACAAGACACAAAACCCTTCAGGCCTCCAGAAAATCGCATCCTGAAACCTTTCCTAATGTATTTGGGTCTGAGTTCATTTAATGTTCTGGTCTTTATGCACTAACCCCACCAAAAAAACAAACAGACAAACAAAACAAAAGCCCTCGCTATTGAGTGGATGACAGCTCGTGTTTTCCCCTCTCACCTTATGTGTCCAGGCAGATACACTAGACTAGACTAGATTCAGCACTTATATTGTGCTGCGTGCACTTCTATGATGTGTGGTAAAATTTGTTGAATCTGGGGATAATGGAAGCTACAGTAAATTCAGAATTTTTCGCTTCCACAGAATAGCCACTGTTTAAACTATCAAGTGCTGCCGTCAGGCCCTGTGTCCCACTTCATGTACTTTTGCCATTGGTTTCTGTACTGGACGTGCTGACATTGCATCGAGCTCTGTCAAGTCCCATTTCGTTAGATTCAGCCAGTTGTTCCAGGCTATTGAGATCTCCTATCATCCAATTTATGTGCTCCTCGTCCAGATGCATATCAGCATTCCATCAGTGCCCACTTCCCAAAAGCTAATGTAAGTGCGGAGGAAGGCCCTGCTTTTCCTGATACCGTTTGGAGAAAAGGACAGCTGAGCTGAGTTCTTTTTTTTTTTTTTAAGTCATTGGGGGCTCGTACAACTCTTGTCACCATCCATCCATTGTGTCAAGCACATTTGTACATATGTTGCCATCATCATTTTCAAGACAGTTTCTTTCTACTTGAGCCCTTGGCATCAGCTCCTCATTTTTTCCCCTCCTTCCCCCACCTCCCTGCTCTCATGAACCTTTGTTAATTTATAAATTTTTATTATTTTGTCATGTCTTACACTGTCTGATGTCTTCCTTCAGCCACTTTTCTGTTTTCCGTCCCCCAGGGAGGGGGTTACATGTAGATCTTTGTGATCAGTTCCCCCTTTCTCCGCCCCCCTTCCCTTCCCCTCCTGGTATGGCTACTCTCATTGTTGGTCCTGAGGGGGTTATCTGTCCCGGATTCCCTGTAAGAGCTGAGTTCTTTGTGTTCATATTGGTTGTGTTCTAGCCAAGTTCAGCGAGACACGTGTACAGAAGAGAACTCAGAGCTATTTTCCGGTCTTCTCTGAAATCTACCCTGTCACCTTTTCAGCCACTCACAGCCTCATTTCTCCAAATATAAAATAAGAAGAAACTGGTCACGCTATAAAGGTCCCCTCCATGGCTATCATGAAGATCAGAGATATTCAAATATGTATTTTAAAGTATTCTATGAATTGTTCTTATTAATTTGGGTGTTTGAAAACTGCCCCCCAAAATCCAAACTCACTGCCATTGAGTTGATGTTGACTTAGAGAAACCCTTCTAGGGCAGGATAGAACTGGCCCTGTGGGTTTCTGAAGCTAAAATCTTTACAGGAGCAGAAAATTTCCTCTTTGTCCTGAGGAACTGCTGGTGGATCTGAAATGCTGGTCTTGTGCTTAGCAATCCAATGCATAGCCCACCATGCTCCCAGGGCACCTTTGAAAGCTTCAAGACTTAGCAAACATTGGTGAGTGGCCATAAGGGACTGTGGGTGTTAGACAGCAGAGATAAGTCATCAACAAAAGACAAAGGATACGTTGCCATCCCCGGCTAAGGTTAAAAACAAGGTTTGCAAAACTGAGAGGTCTACATGATTTTTAGCAGACTCATTTTCAAATGTATGCATAGAGCTTCAGCTAATGCAGAACATTTGAAAGGCAGTATTTTTAGTTGCTAAAATAAAAAGCTGGCCACGGCATTTTGTCATCCAAGAGTCACTACTGACTGTGCAATGATGTTAATTCTCTTATCTTCCTTTTTCTTGCATAGTTTTGGTTTCCTTACTGGAATGAAAGCTCATGACAGGAATCAAATGGCTAACTATTATTTCCCTATGAATAAGTTACACTTGATTCAAAAGGGTAAAATTCAGAATCCACTTAAATCAGCTGTATTGGATACCAGTCACAGCAGTGAGTAAATTCTTATTTATCCTCTTTCTATGTGTATACTAATTAAGGCTGGGGTTCAGTGAAATTCAAAATGACCACAAGGAGAAAAACAGAAGCAAATATGCAAGTGAGAAAGTGCACCCCTATTTTCTCAATCTTACCTGAGCTTAAAAAAGCACCCTACTTTTATGCAGTCAAACTGGGTTTTCATGTTCATTATTCTTCTATCATAGAAGCCCATAAGTTTGGTACTATATTTCTTACTTTATACATGAGAAAACTAAATTTCAAAGATAATAAAGGACTTGCCTAACGTAAGATAATAAGATTAGGGACTGAAGTCTGGATTCAGTGACCTTTCCATTATATCATGGCTCCCTGTATTCACTCACTTGCTACTACCCAAATAATACAGATTTTTAAAAGAAAAAATTTCATGAAAATCAAAACCAGTGAATGCTTACACTTTTACTTACAAGTTCTGTGTTAGTCCAGATGGACTAGAGAAACAAATGCATAGACACTCATATGTGTATAAGAAATAATTTTATATAAAAGAGCAATTGTATATTGAGAAAACATCCCAGCCCAGTCCAGATCAAATCTGTAAGTCCAATATGAACCTATATGTTCAATTCTAGTCCACAAATTCTTCTTTAGACTCACGCAGCACATGCAATGACGCAGAATGCAGGAAGATCACAGGCAGTGGGTAGAAGGTCTTATGGGTCCAGTGGCAGTGGAAGCATCCCAGCACTGCTGTGGGTCTGCATGTGGCTTCTCTAGCCCCAGGGCTCTGGCTCCATTAGCAGCTCCATGTGGCTTGTCAACAAGAATGTCTTGCAGAGAGAGAGTGTATCTGGCCTCCAGTGAGCTATTTATCTCCATAGCACCTCCAAATGAGGTCATCAAGCTGCCACCTGATTGACAGACTAGCCTCCACCCCATTCACTCTTAATAGTTTCAAGTTGACATCAGATTATGTAACTACCACAAGTGCCATGCCAGCAGGTGACAGAGGAACGACTATAAAGACATTACATAAGAATACCAGATTCGCCTCATAAGGGGGACACTGGCTGATTTCTATGGGGTAGAGTTCAGATATGCCTCCATCCTCCAACTCTCTTTACCCTGTTCTGACATCCACATTCCACCAGCACTCTCCTCTGCTGGTTCACTAATCCATTGCAATGATCACACAGACTCCAGAGACAGTACTCAGGATTATGGGAGTTTCTTAAGTGAATTAAGGACTCCTGGTGGTTCTATTGAGTAAGTATTGGACTGCTGACCACAAAGTAGGTGGGTCAAACCAACCAGCCCCTCCAAGGGAGAAGAAGCTTTCTGTTCCGGTAAAGATTTACAGATTCAGAAACCCTCTATAGGCTCGCATTGCGTCAGAATCAGCTTGAAGGCAGTGTGTTTTGCTTTTTAGTATTAGGGAAGTTAATAGGCTATAAATCAGGTTCTGAAACACTAAAGATACAGTTCTTTTGCCCATAATCCTTCTTCTTAACCATGCCAGCAGGTACATATATCTCTGGTCTCTGCCTCTCAGCTCTTTATCCCCTATCCTGTTTGGGTAAGTATTACAAAGCTCCTTTAGGACATCTCACTCTGCAGCTAGCCTCCTGCCTGAAGTCACTCAGGTTGACTTGTTCTGGGCCAGAAGCTCGTCTTTCTGTGTGTCCTTGTTTCTGCTACCACCATCTCTCCCTACAAGGATCTCAGGTGCACTCCTCTCTCAGCACTTCTTTTATTGATGGTCCTCGGATTCTTTGTTTCTGCTTCTGGGATGCATTGCTCCATACCCAGTGGAATAGTAAAGCTAAACAACTACCTCCTATTAGTATCATACACTGTAATTATAAGCAGTGCTGGTGGGTAAATGCTAGACTGTTAACCCCGAGATTAACAGTTGAAACTCACCAGTCACTTGGCAGAGGAAAGAGGAGCCTATACACTCCCATAAACATGTATAACTTTGAAAATTCTACAGAGAGTCA